CGGTTACAAGACGAGCTCTCCGACTGGCTACTCAGCTAATGGAACCTGACCCAATGGCCAGTCCACGAATTCCAGGTTTCACCAGTTCGAGATTCTAGCGTGACTGGCACCTGCCAACGTCATCGGTGAGTACTTGTCCTCAATCCCAACCGGGTGGAACACACACACTAGTCACGCCTAACGAGCTGGTGACTGGCTACATGACGAAGCTGCCTGGAGAAGTCCCGGTGGCTAAATAGTCTCCAGGATTTCCTTGTAACCGAAAAGTCCTGGATTCGAACTCCGTTTGACGTATATGGTCAACGAGTTCCAAACTAGGACAAGATAGCTGTCCATTACTCTTCAGTTTTCAATGGTTCTCTAACTGATAACAATCCGTGTTCAAAATTGAAACAGTATTAAGAGTTTGATGACGATGGGCGACGGATCCAGTTTTCATCGAGTAGGCCATTACTCATTAAGGATTCACGTAATTTCAGTAGACAAGACTTAAATAGAATGAAATGTGCCTTCTATATTATTTATTATCATTATTGCTCCCTTGGGTTCCTAGTGGAACATAGAGCTTCAACTGCACGTCTCCATTTTCTTCTGTCTTCTGCTATACTTTTCGCCTGCATCCATGTTAATCCATATTCTTTCAACTCCTCTTCACACGATCTCCTCCATGTCACCTTTGGACTTCCCACACGCCGCTTCCCTTTTGGGTTCCACTCGAGGGCTTGGCGCGCGATGTCACCCAGCGGTCCCCTCAGCGAGTGTCCGATTCATCTCCACTTTCTCCTGCATATTTGTCGGGTAGCGATTGGTTCTTGCTTTGTTTGTTCCCATAATTCCTTGTTGGTGATTCTTTCCGGCCATCTGATCTTCAGTATTGAGCGAAGACAGTTGTTAATAAGGGTCTGCAGCCTTTTGGAAATATACTTTGTGACCCGCCAAGTTTCTGATCCGTATAGAAGAACTGACTGACTTGACGTGTTTGTATTGAAAATCCTACCGAATTTTGTTGTTGATGCTGAGTGACTAAGATTTCCAGATTGGTTTCAGGTTGATGAATGTGTTTCTCGCCTTCCCGATTCTCTCTCGATTTGACATCGTCGTCCGTTCCTAGTGCCTGCAGTTGATACAGTGCTCCCTAGGTAAGTGAATGAATGAAGTAACCTCTTTCAAATCCCTCCTGTTGATGGTGATTGACGTTGGATGTTGTTGCTGTTGTTGGTTGGTTATTTTCATAACCTCCATCTTGTTTATGTTCACATGGAGTCCTGTCTTCACCGGCTGCTTCTTCGACCAGTTTGTCGGTTTTCGCTTGTAATTCTTCGATTTCGTGTGGCATCAAACATAAATCACCCACGCGCGAAATCCAGGTCTATGTAGGTTCTTCACGTCGGTCGGTCCAGGATATCCCTGTCTTCTCGTTTCCTACTTACTGTCTGACGCATTATCCAGTCCACCACAATTAGGAATATCATTGGTGATAATAAGCCAGAACCCTTGTCTGACTCCTGTGTTTACTGCAAAGGCCTCGCTGAGTCTTCTGTTGTGGATCACTTGGCAGGTGCCGTTGTCGTTCAGCTGTTGAATAAGGTTGATGAATATTTGGGGTACGCCGTAGTACTCGAGTAATTTCCAAATTACTTCACGGTCAGCGCTGTCAAATGCCTTCTCAAATTCTATTAAGTTGAGGTATGGGTTTGATTGCCATTCCATGCTTTGTTCGATGGTGATGCGTAGAGTTGCAATTTGGTCAGAACATGATTTGTCTTTCCTTAATCCAGCTTGGTCTTTTCGGAATTCTGTCTCCAGTGCGTCCTTTATTCTCTTCAGGATGATGTGACTCAGGATTTTACTTGGAGTCGACAGGAGCATGATTCCTTGCCGGTTCTTGCGGAGTCCTAAATTGCCCTTCTTTGGTAGTTTCACGAGGTAACCTTTCTTCCAGTCAGTAGGCACCTTTCCCTCCTTCCAGACCTTTTGCCTTCTATATAGATAAATAAATTACCTCAGCTGCTGTGATTGAAATATTATTTTATCAGCGGCCTGTTTAAATCACTTGGATAACTAAATTTACTATCCACCAAAATGCATCGTATTTACTCACCTTCAAACTGTTTTGATCTTCCACTTACCACAGTGAGTTGCAATATATACTCGTGCAAAAAATTTCAAATAAGTTTCCACCTATCGCTAGGAACTTTCCGAAGCAACTTCAGGAGCAGCATTGTTGAGTAGTAGTGAAAATATGCCTCGGATGGAACAATATTACTTCATATGATATATTATCGATTATTATATTATTATAAAACAGATGAATATTCCTGGCCAACAGCAACAACATCAACAACAGACGACAATCAGTATAAATGGGAGGAACCTGAAAGAACAACCTCCTTCACCTACCTGGGAAGCATCGTTTCAACTACAGGCAAACGGAACTGACGAGGATATCAAAACAACGAGGATTAGGAAAGCAAGACAAGCTTCCATTACTCTCAAGTCTGTGTGGAGATCAACTGCACTACGCAGCATGAAAATGAAAATTAGATTCGGATTTTCAACTCCAATGTGAAGTCAGTGCTACTTACTATATGGATCAGAGACTTGGCGCGTCATAAAGAGCACATCAAACGAACTACAGACCTTCATTAACAGCCGTCTTCGCTAAATACTACTCAAGATCAGATGGCCAACCAGAAAAGATCAGCAATAGTGAGGGATCTCTGGCAATGAACAAGCCAACCCAGCAGAAACCGATTGTGCAAAAAAATAAGCAGGAAGAAATGGAGATGGATTGGATTGGCCATTCTCTGAGGAAACCATCAAATGATATCACACACCAGGCCATCGCTCGAGTGTAACCCAAAAGTGAAGCGGCGAGTTGGTCGTCCGTGTGAGGGTGACTTGGAAGAGGTAATGTGAAGAGGAAATGAAAGCGTAGGGGCAGACTTGGAGCCAGGTGAAAATGTTGGCAGAGAACCGGAAGCAGTAGAGACGCACGGCTGACGCCGTATGTTCCTCTAGGAATTAAAGGAAATAGTAACAATAATTATATTTCGATAAAGAAAGGAAGACGAAATTTGCAGTATAAAATGATATCATTCTATTTCACAGGTTCTCATCAGCTGCAGACTACCTGAAATTACAATGGTTATATAGATGATAATAACATACTTTAATGTTCAAGTGGTGGTAGAAAAGAGATACTATAAAATTGACGCATCTAAATGAAAGCATTACAATGTTTTTAGTTTAAGTTTTCATCATCAATTTATAACCATTGTAATTTCAGGTAGTCTGCAGCTGATGAGAACCTGTGAAATAGAATGATATCATTTTATACTGCAAATTTCGTCTTCCTTTCTTTATCGAAATTTATCAAGGGAACCAAATGTATGAATAATTATATTATTAGAAGATTCTGTACAAGAAGTAGACACGTCAAAAATGGAAATCGCTGAAAATTCTGTATTGTAGATAGAGACATTTTTCTGAATAAATCTATTATTGTTATATTGTTGTTGTGTAAAGTTGAACAGACTTAAATGATGACAAAACATTCTCCTTGTCTCCATTAAAAGGTGTCACTTTATCAATTAATGTGCTAGTTATTAGCAGCTCTCTTTGTTACCTTGACACTGAGAATCATATGCTCAGTAAAGATCAACAAGTAACAAGGAATTCTGCCAGTGAAACAAGATAGCCAACAACCTGTTGCACAAGAAATATTTGGAAGCTAACAGAGAGGAATTAGATATACTACAGGAACAAATTAGTTGACTATGAAATAAACAGAGTATACATTCTATTGCTATGCTGGTCGACAGGCACTTGGACTCATGTGTTCTGTGCGATAAAGAAAGCATTAGGCGTGATACCTATAACTTATTAAATAGTTAGTAGAACAACTGGATCTCATCTTTTCAACTCATATCATTTATAGGTACGTTTTCTTTTTTTGTTATGTGCTCTTTTGTTTATCTCTTCCTTACGAACTCTACTTAAAGCATTCTTCTTTGTTCTTTTACACTTTGTATATCTCCGCCTTTTTGTTACCACTTACGCCAATAAATATGCTAACATCTTCAAACACTCTGTTCTATTTCGGCTTTGCTACCGATATGCTAATATGTTGTAGTCAAAACTAACTGAGACTACCCATAATGTATGTAGAGTTTTATTTATTGTTAATGTATAAACTGGATGCAATACTGTAGTGAAATGCTGAGAATTCCATTCTGTATCACAAGTACTGTTTTGGAATAAAGCAAATTATTATTATTATTCCTATGGGTATCGCATGAAACATAACGGAGGGCATCTCCATTTCACTCCGATCTTTACCGTCTCCTTTACTAATCTATAAGATTTCATTTGCTTATCTCAAGATCTCCTTCATTTAGTTCTCCTTCATTCAACTGTTTGGCATTTGATATATTTTAACGAACGGTCTGTTCAGCATATTCATTGGGTGATAAATTATTTGATGGTATTAGATGGTTGAAGGCTATCGGCCACAGGAAGCCTTGAACACACTTAGGTTTCGTGCTAGTTGCCACTCACCAGTCAGTCAGTAAGGCGTATCTGCAACTAGCTTCAAGGAACTCATGTCCCTTCTGAGATTTGAACCCGCGTCACTCAGTCAGAGCTGCAGTCAGAGACGTTACCACTGAGCTATTCGGACTGGTTTACTGAGCTTTGTATTCTTTCCAATCAGCTATCTGATCTTTAGTATTGAACCAATATAGGCAGCAACTGACGAAATGCATTACTAACCCAGTATGGTAAACAGATTTCAACACTCATATCTAATATTACAAATTATTAAATAAAATTCATTCCCACATGATGACTACAGCCGTTATGTTTTATAGTATTATTAATCAATAGTAATAATGATATAAGCTGTATGAGTGCATGGTATATACATAATATCTCATTAAAGAATCGATCGAAAAGTCAATTTTCCCATAAAATTTGAAATCATTGCATACATCATGTGTCTAGTAGTGTGTATGCACTTCCGTTTATAATATATATATATATATATCTTATGTCATTGACACAAACACATTCTCTGTTGAAGTATTTCTCTATTCATTCTTCTGATCATATATAAATAAATTAATCCTCTTCTATTTTTGAATTTTTCTTCTTTATTTGTTTGTTTGGATTTTATATTCATATAAACAAGCAATATTGAAAATTGAATTATTTATCAAATCACTTGAACGTTGAACATTGAACCTTAACTAACTATTTTGAATTTGTGTATATTATTATCATCTATCTATACACAATGAAAGATATAATAATACTCTTGAAGAATATAAATTATACACTTATCGTATTTATAACACTATTAATTAATTTATGTTTATCATCAAATAACAATAATAATAACCATAATCATAATCATAATAATAAGCATAAAAAGTTTTCTAAAAAATATATTCATAATAATAATGCTTATATCAATAATAATACTAATGATAATGATAATGGGAAGAATGAATTGATTAGTATTAGTCCAATATCAACAGAGAAATTGCAAAAATATTTTTGGAAATTAGAACAATTACCCTATATAGATGATTTATGTCATGATGAATGTAAGTTAATTTATTTAATGAGTGAATTTATTCACCCATTTATTTATTTATCTATTTAATGATTCATTAGTTGTTGTGTTTATTAATTTATTTACTTTTTTGTTTATTTTGATATTTTGGATTTATTTGAGTTTTTGTATTTATTCACTGCTTGGTAGGGTTAAACTTTAAGCACCAGTAACAACCAATCAGCAAATGACGTCGAAAGCACCCACCAATCACGTGAACGAGGCATTTTTCTGCACGGAATACATATAGACTTATAAAAAGTGGTACACAAGATACCTCTCCCCACAGGATAAAAGTAGCTCTGTCAGTTTTAAGTTGGAGTATCAACAGAGTATAATTCCATTGTGAATAAAATTAATTTTGATAAAGTCTCATACTTTGATGACAGTAGATGGCCGGAGGCAATCGAAAGGAAGCCTTTGAGCTAGATTCCATTCTAGTTGGCACTCATCAGCAAGGTGTATCTGCAACCAGCTCGAAGAAACTCATGTCCCTTCTGAGATTCGAACCCGCGTCACCCAGTGCCGCCTGCAGTCAGAGACGTTACCACTGAGCCTGCTGTTCGGGCTCGCGATTTACCTCCTGTAGGACTGTAGCGGATATTTTGATTGGACACTAGTAACTAGTGTGATGTGTCTAGTCCTTTCTTTGGTGCAGACTGAATTTTATCAGTCTCATACTGTTGTGCAGTAATATTTACTGGGATATAATCTGCTTGAAACGTCATCAGTAAATTACTAATATTAATTACAATATTACTACTGTATAGCTGTACTGTAATATTACTACTGTAAAACACTGTGAGACTTTATCAGAATAAATTTTACCCGCAACGAAATTATGCTTTACCACAGTGCACAAGTTCTATTCTCATATCAAAAGATTAATCTAACCACATTCTATACACGTAACTATTTAGGTCATGAAGAAAATAAAAGACAGATTCAGCGAAGAAAACTTTCTTTATCGACGAAATCATCTTCAGAGGCTGGCTGTACAGTCGTATTTATACTTACAAAAAGTACATATAGTGGTCTATTATTGAGTAATAGGGCGTGACATAATTCATATAATCAACAGAAGTGGCGTTAGAAGTGAAAATTAAAAGTTGTTAATTACGTGGTACTCAACGGCACAAAGATAGAAATTTGATAAGGTTAAATTTGCTATTGAGTGAAAATAAAGGTATTTGAGTGTCAGTTTAACAAGTGTGAGGAGGGTGTGAAATGTACAGAAGTAGCATATGAGAGCGATAATAGTGAATTAATTATTAAAGCAAAAGCAAACTAAAAGTAAAATTTAAAAAGAAAAAATCAAAATTTTTTACAGGGAACGATTAGTGAAGAGGTTAAGACCAAGGTAGAATAAGTGACTGGACAAACTTTTCTGTATACAGAGTTCAGGGTTGTATTGACGATTTAGGTCTTCTAACACTAACAATAACCCTAATCTTTCCTGAACCTAGGCTTAACGTGACAATATTTCTAAACTAAATGTAAACTTACTCGAACCAATCCTAATATCGCCTATATTAGGTGACATGGAGGATTGAATCATGAGCTGACATCAGTTTGAGAACCATTGGAAACCCTGCAGGGAGTACTCAACAGCTGTTTCGTCCTAGTGTTTGGGACTCTTCAGCAGTACGCACCCACCGGGATTCGAACCCAGGACCCTCTGGTTACAAGGCGAGCTCGTAGACCATTGAGCCACTGGGACCCGATTCAATGGTCCTTGAATTCTAACTTCTGCCGATTCCCGACATTGTGCAACCACTTCACAATGTCTTCTTTGATGAGTTACTGCCTCATCTTCAACCTGCTGTACCCTACTGGTCACGGCTTCTCACTAGAACGCCAGGTTAACTGCCTGAATAGGGCCAGTCACTAGTGAGCACAGATTAATTTTCAAGGTTAACCTGATCCTAACTTGTCCTTGGCTTAAAAACAGTAACTTAATCTTTCTCAAACCTAAGGTGAAATTTGTTAGATATCCCACTTAAAAACATCACACCTCGATGGGCATATTTTATTCATGATAACAAATATTATTAGCCAGGTTTCATTAACTTTCTCAGTGAGCGTTTCAAGGTCATTGATGCGGTAGCACTCCATCAGTAGCTAGTGGTGCTTAAAGTTTATCTTAGCCAACAAGTTTAATCCTTACAAACCAACTCTTGAAATTTTGCTTTATTGGTGCGGTCTCACTCCATTGGTCGAAGTCCTGTTGAAACGGTATAAAGAAAATCTTGGTTAAAGGATGATTATTTAGAAATTGATATCTCTATATAATCAAATTGTGTCTACCTTATCTTCAGCGTACCATTTACACAGATCTTCATTTCGTGGTAGTTTTGAACTTCATGTTGTGTTTATTTGTGTTACTTTCACCTTTCCCATATGTCTCCACAACGCTGTATCATTTTCCTTCTATGAAATCATATATATGTCTCTCTGCTATTTGATGTTATTATGGCGATGAACGTCTCTTCATATACTGCTGATAAGGTATATCAGTGTAACAATAGAAGACAAGGGCCAGGCAACAGATCGTTGTATTACGGAAATCAACACGTATTTATATAAATTTCACATACATTATTATAGCCTAGTCAACTAGATAAACGCAGTCTTCTGATTGGTTGTTTTCGAGTTCCTCGGAAAGTGGAGCCATCTATCTGCGAATCATATTTGCCCAAGTTTAAGTTTGCTGTGATTGGTTGTTGAAACAGCCTTGTTCATATTTGCTCATGGCCCACATTAGTGACCTAGACATTGACGTAGACTAATGTCAACCAATTGGCTAGCAGGCTGCCCTCACTACATCAGTAGTATTCACCACATTATGTTCACCATCGAATGCAATGGAACAAAAAAAAAGACTGGACATATAAATTGAATACTGATAGACACCATTTACTTTACATTTCGTATTTCTAGCTGTACCAATTTATCTACAAACCCATGAGTTTAAAACTCAGAGAAGTTGAAAATATGCTTAACTGACACTGGTCATCAAGGTTGAAACTTACAACCCTGGTCTTCCTGTCAATTTCCACTCCACCCTTCTCTCTAAATAACCCACATTTCTGAATTATTTGTTATGTTTATTATCTATCTTTGAGTTTTAAACTGAATAATTATTCTTCATTTGTACGTTGGTCACTGTGCAATGTCAGAATTGTGACTAACCAAACAAATGGTCTGGCTGACGCAATCCTAAATCTCTCCTTGATTACGAGACATTAGTAAGAGTGGAGAAGAAAGAATGTTCTGATGTGAGGCTAGAAAACCCATATTAATATGTGTGTAAAGCTTGGGCACTGTGGTAGTAAGTAATTCCGTATTAGTTTGTTTATTAGATGTATCACACAGTCTGCGAAACAGTATTATTTACTGGATAACACAGTTTCGAACAAAATTTATCACTGTTCATAATCATATCAATTATAATCACACGACTTCGAAACTTGAGTTTTATAGTTATCTTTGTCCCATCCTATTTGTCGTCCCTGGGGTAGTAGAAATTTCCATATATCCGACTGGACAGGTGATGAATCATTCCTATCACATGTATTTGCAGTTAATTCGGTAAACAAAGGTTATGTTATCAATCTTTCCCTCCACCCTGTGACATTAGATTTTGAAACTGTCATCCTATCCCATCCTATTTCATGGCAGTGTTGTGTGTGATTGCATGTAGTGATTGCGATGGCTGAATTATTCTCTAGATTTCTTATCTTATTCAGGTCACCCAGTCTAGACTTCTCTAGGTTTTTGTTCTCGGCTAGTTCGACTGACTGAGACCTGTTCTACTACTTTGACCAATGTATTTCACCTGACAATCATTGGAGGCAGGGTATTAGGTAAACTAAATTGTTTTGTTTTGACGGCTCCACAGGATTGATCTTTTAACCGACAAAGCTTGATTCGAATTGAGTTTTGGGGTGGTTTGAATTCCACTTTTATTCCTGCCTGCATTGTTAAGAATTCTGCATAAGGTGGTTTCCGAGGTTCCTTTCTTGTATGGAATTATTACTGATGATTTAGATTCCTTATTGTTGGTGTTGTCTTGCGCAAATCTGACATGTATGTTTTTTTAAAAAAAAATAATTTTTCCTTCACGTTCCCAGTGGAACATAGGGCTCCAAGGTAGTTGCTTGAAGTTTCTGTAGCAGTGTTTAATTTTTATAGGATGGGGTTGCTAGCCACATGCCCAACCTTTCCTCTTTACCAGCATTATTTCTGGCTCAGTGAGGTAAAGGAGTGCGCCGGCCGGGGGTCGAACCCCGGACCATATGCATGGTCGGCGAGCGTTCTTACCGCTATACCACCGACGCACGACATGTATGCAGTCCTTAATATTAGTATTATTATCACTAGTATTATCACTACTGTCATTATTTATTTTATTTTCACATCTTCCTACATATTTCCTGACTAATTTATCAGGCTAATTATTGAGTTTCAAGGCTTATTTTATGTGTATCACCTCCTGTCTTATATTTTCCTTGGTACTACTTAGATTTGTGCTCTGTTACATAAACGTTCACCAATCCTATTTTTACTGACATACTATGGGATGATCGGAAGTCCAAATATCTGTTTGAATGTGTGGGTTTTCTGTAAACACTAGTGTTTAACTTCCGTACCTCTTCCCCTTTTTACGTTACAATCTAACATTGGAAGTTCCGCTGCTTCCTGACTTTCCAATTCATCATAAGTGAATTGAATAACCTCCACCTTCGAGCATTATATCCTCAAGTGGCTAGAAAACCCAACCTGTAAAAATCAAACAACATTATCCTAAATAAAATTCCGAAGAGTGTAGCTTGGAGCCTCATTTACCACTAGTAACATATTAACAGCTTTCACTGTGACATAATTTAATTCATTTTTAAGTCAAACATCTTTATATAAGAAAATAACAGGGATGTGTTCAGATGAACTTGACAAGAAGGTTTGTAATTTGGTTTCATGGTAGTTGGCACT